ACCAGATCACGCTGCCACTGCTCCGACAAGAAAACCATGTCTGGAGTGTGACCACTGTCCCAGTCGGGCCATCGATGACCTGGGATAGGCCCATGGTAGCCATGAACTCCCGAGCCGCCTCTGAGGCCAACCCCAGGGATGGCAGATTAAAGTCCCCCAAGACCATAAGTCTGGGGAACTCCACTGCCAACCCCAAGATGGCCTCCAGCAGCTCAGGTAGGGAGGCTGCTATGCAGCAGGGAAGCTGGTACACTAGCAGCACTCCCAACTGATCCCATGTGCCCAACCTCAGGAACAGGATTTCACATCCAGCAACTTGTGGAGCAGGGCCCCTGAACTCCAATAGGGATTCCCTGATGACTACTGCCACTCCCCCTCCCCTGCCCTGGGGTCTCGGCTGGTGCCACACCCTAAACCCGGCTGGACACAGTTCCAAGAGGGCTACTCCCCCCTCTGGTGCCAGCCAGGTCTCAGTGATGCACGCCAGGTCAGCCTGCTCCTCCCCAATAAGGTCGTGAATAAGGGGGGCCTTATTATTGACTGACCTGGCATTCAGCAGCAACAGTCGAAAGCCCGGGCCTCTGTAGGCCTGCTGACCAGGGTCTGGGTTTGAGCTCTGAGGGCCAGAACACGCCACCGGTATAACGCATCGGGGGCGTCTTCCCCTGAAACGGCCTGCCCTACCAACCTTTGTTGGTACCAACATTAATTGCAGTTAAGATTGGCCAAGGATTCCCTTGATCTGAATCTGAAATTCTCTTCACACAATTTTAACTTGAACTTTATTGGCTACAATGTAGTATATATCCAGAATTAAAGGCAGGAGAAGGGAATTATTCTGGGGAAGTAATATATGTTCTTGCAGCTTGACTCCTGATTGTAAAAAGAAGTAAATTGGGATATCAGGAATAAAGAGAACTAGTATATTTGTAGTTGCCTTCAGACATGCTTACAAAATGAAAAACAGACAGGTCTGCATGTTGAGCTTCTTTTGAAAGGGAGTACAGTGTAATAAAAGGAAATGCTTCTGTCCTGTTTAAATTAGGAGAGTGTATATTTTGAACTCAGAATGTATTTTAGAGTTTTGGTTTGGAGCTTGAAGGAAAACAGGGTGCTTTAGTTTCATGTTCTAAGTGTTCATGTGTAGGAAGCAATGAGGACCTGAAATGAACTCTTCTTCATTTTCTAGGACCTCCAGATAGATGTTATAGAAGATGTAAACCATGCTGAGTGCTACTTATCACTCAACCAATGGAAGAAATGGTCAAGAGGATTTTTTTTTACAATATTTTAAACATTATTAAATTCCTGTAAAAGCAATGGAAGCAACAGTTAAACCCACTTGTTATAACGTACTGACTTCAATATTTTTAAAAAATTAAAACTCATTTCTTGGTCAGTTTTTCTGTGGGGTAGATGGTAGGTGCTGCTTTATATAGATTACCAGCTCACCTACATTTATAGCCTTATAACAAGTAAGAAGCAAGAAGCTTAGTTTGAATTCCAGTTGTTTATATGGCAGAGCACTTGAAGCATTTTGAGTTTGTTTGAACTGAGCACAATCCACTTAAGAGTAGGGATGTTTTTATTTCAAGTGCAGAAATATTTTGTTTTGTGTATATTCCTACTTATTGCTGTTTAAAATGAGTAAGATCACATTTTGTTGCTATTATCATATTGTTTATTAAATTTTTGTGCCATGAAATCAATAGACTAATGGCAACTTACCAACATAAAATACAATAAAACATCCATGGTAAAGTAACAAAACAGTTCATAAATCAATTACAACAATATACAACATAATGCAAAATAAGCATGCAGGTAGTCCTCAGTTAACTACGGCAATTGGGACTGGAATTGCAACACGGTCGTAAACCGCAACATCACATGACCATGTTGCTTAGCAATGGCAATTCCAGCACTCCTGGTTACCGGTGTTAAGCAAATCAACACAGATCGTTAAGTGAGGACTTCACATGGTCACCATTTGTGACCTCCTGCTGGTTTCCCCATTGACTTTGCTTGTTGGCAGCTGGCAAAGGCCACAAATGGTAACCATGGGACACTGCAATGTTGTAATTGTGAGCTGGATGCCAAGCACCTGGATCACAATCACATGACTGCAGGGATGCTGCAACAGTCAGAACTCTGAGGACCGGTCATCAGTACCACTCATTCAGCACTGTTACAAGTTCGAAAGGTCACTGAATGAGTGGTCATTAACTGAGCACCAATTACAAATAAACTGGCTAATAAAATCCAGGTTCATACAATATATAGTCATTGCCTAAGAGCCTCTGGAAGAGTATGAACCTTCTGGAAGGCTAGCATTGAGCAGGCCAGCCTGGCTCTTTGAGAGAGGCTGTTCCAGAGTATTGGCTCCGTAGTTGAAAAACAGTATTTTCTGATTTCAGCCACCTTGATCTCACAAAACTGGGATACTACAAGCTCCTTTTTCCAGGAGAATCTCCACTTATAGGTCAACTCTGACTGGAGTAGGTGATTCTGAAGATATCTTGGTACCAAGTCATTTAAATAAAAACTAGGGAATCTTTTGGTAACCAGTATAGGCCCCTGCAAAATAGATGGAAATATCTGAAGTGAGTAGTTCCAGTCAGCAGGCAGACTGCTTTGTTTTGGACCAACTGTAGCTTTTGAGATTTCTTCAAAGGTGGCTCCATGTGGAGCACATTGCGGAAGTCTGAATATGTGGTGATAAGGCATGAGGCATAGTTAATATTTGGGTGGACCCATGTCAAGCACATGAATGAGGTCAAGATTTACTGTACTTCCTTGACTGGGGAGAGTGCCTATTTTTAAAAATGACATTAAACCCATGTTAGTGTATGGTTTTTGTATGTTTCCAGCTCCAAATGGAGCAAAATAATGTCAGTTGTTCTTGGAGGCAGCCGTCTGAGTGGGCTGGGTGATGCAAAAAAGAGGATCATCTAAAGAATAAGCCTGCAGAGCATGTCTTTATTGAATATGAAGTCTTTTCAGATGAAGTACTTTAGTTGCTGAAACTCTGGAGGTGGTTTTGCAATATACTCTTTATATATTTCACATAGTTTATAGTAGTACTTATGAAAATGCCTTAAAACGGGGTTTTAAGAGTAGGTTTTTATCATTTAAATAATACTTTCATGTTAATGCAGAGTAGATGTTACAGTATAACCAGAATATATATCTGAGTAAACATAATTTAATCTGATTTTTCAGATATAAGAAACAAAAAACATTGATTAATACCACCTATTCAGTATTTCAAACATGGTTCTACAGGTTTAAAAATAAAACAGGAGTGAGATAATATATGTTATGGCATCAACTAGTATTTTAAGATGCTATGAATAAGTTCCTAAAACTCCACAGAACTGCCCTTCAGTTCTTCATGCATAGAGTAAAATAGAATGACTTGATAGCCTAATTGGATTCTAGAACTAGTATTGAATTTGAGCAAACAGTAGTAATTACATTCAAACCAAGAGTCTATTCCAGGTATTTGTAATTTTTTGTATACACACATGTGTGTGCATGCACACACACACACACACACACACACACACACACACAAGCAGTGCCCTGCTGAATTGGACCCCTGGCCCATTAGTTCAGCAGTCTGTTCTCACAGTGACCAACCAGGTATACAAGGAAGCCTCCCAGCAGATGACCTTCAGAAGCAGTTACACAGCCACCAAGCCTAGTAGCTGTTGAGCCCCATGACTTCTGTGAATTGAAGCCATTTGTAGGTTACCCCTTAAGATAGGTTTTGTATAATGTAGCCATGTGTAGTTCCAAAAGATGCGTGCTGACAGCATAATGCAAAATTTGGTTCATCTTAAAAGCATTTTTTTTCTCCTCATGAGTCTTTTTTGTTATAGCGAGTCAGGCAAAGAAAAAAAGAGAAGTGAATATGATAAGTTCATGGCAGTCTCCTCCATGTGAAGAAGATTGGGACAAAGGTGAGGACCATGTAGTTGATACTTTATTAGAATACTGCAAGATTGAGCCTTCCCTCTTCAAACTTTAATATTTAATATGAAAATGTACTCCTACCAAACATCTGTTCTTCCATATCCATTATTTTCTACCACCTGTGCTAAGCAGAAATTGGAATGTTTTACAACCCAGGGTTATGCAGTCTCATGTTAATTAATTATATTTTTGCACTGCTTCCTTTGACAACAAACCCTAGATCAGTTTTATTCTTCTCAATAAAATAAAGAATTTCTTTTCTTTTCCACAAGTAAGAACTGTAATTGATATTTTTGTGCCATAACAGATATAGGAGATCAGTCAGATTCTACCTTCATTTGGGGCACAAGCTGCTATACAATGAACAGGTAAGTTGTGTTTCCTTTCTATTCCTAAACTAAAGGTCATTCTCCCCACTCCTGTGCATTCCTGTTTGCTCTATATAGAGAAGTGGTTTTTAGGACTTTTTATTGAAAAGTTTTGCTATAAATTAGAGACATTGTGACTTTTTGTTGACATTTAAGAAAGATATTTCTTTGTTCTTTGGTATACTGTTACACATTTCTATTTCCATCCTAGTGGGAAGTTGGGGGAAAATATATAAAGGGGCTCAGGACTCTATCCATCTGTCTTAGGACCAAATTTGCTACGGTGAGATAAGCCAGCAAACAAAAGGGCATGTTTGAAAATGGGCCAGCTGGGGCTGCAGGGAAAATCATTCCAGAAGATGTTTCTCTGAGACACCCCTACGAGAGAGATAGTTGGGCATTACTCAGGATATTGCCATCTCCATTTCTAAGTCGTCTTCCATTTTCTCTCTGGTTATGTGACCCAGAGTGTGGCATATGATCCCACCATGTGCTGTGCTTGCCCATGCATATACACACACAAACAAACATAAATAAAACATGAGGGGAAAGCAGAGATGCACCACATTATTTTGTTACTCAGTAGAAAATACAGACACCACCTATAGCCATTGTTGGTAAAGAATCTGGAAAGAATTCAAAAAGCCAAATTGGAAACTAATGATGTGAAGTGGGTCAAGACTATCCATCAGCATGTCAAGTTTCAGAAAACAGGAGAAGTGGGGGGAGAAGCTGGCAAAATAAAGATAGAATTCAAAACTGAACTAGATCTTGCCATGGGCTGCGGAGGAGAAATTCTATGATAATTTCCTCAATTCATCTCTTATGGAAGAGGCAGTTGGGCCTCTTCCACTCCAGACTGGAATGTTGCTGACTCCTTTTTGTAAGCCCTCCTACCTCCCAAAGCAGAACTACTGTTAAGGGGTTGGAAATAATTTTAGAAGCCATGCACTGCAAACTCCCCAATCCCACCCCGATATTGAGAATGACAGGGTACAGTACAACCTGACACCAGCTACAGTTCCCTAGCTTTATTCAAGATGGCTTATTTCATGTGTTCTAGAAGCAGGACCTGGAAAAATTAGGATTACTACTATCTGGAAAAGCTAGCTTCAGTTTATTTTTCCTCTATTGTATAAGCACAGAGAGGTCAGACCCTCCTTAAACTTTTGGATTGTTTTTTCCTTGAGACTTCTCTTGTCTTTTGCTCTCTTCCCCAACCCCAAATTAAAGTTAGCTGTATAGGTCAAATGATGCTTTTAGGCATTAGCTAACAGTACAGATAGCACCAGATCCCCCCCAAAGCATAGTCAGTGTTCCTAATAACCACTCTTGAAAATTCAGGAGAGCAAGACTAACACTCTCCTCCTCCTGATCCTGATTTCTTGATGAGACTATTTCTTTTCACCTTCCCACTATCACCACCAAGTGGATGGCCAGTTGACTTGTCTGCATTAGGCAAGCAGTGGCAAAAGAAATTGGGATATTTGAAATCATCTTTCCTCACAGAGGTCAAGAGTTACTCATCTCAGGAAAGCCACTTTTACAGTCCAAAATAGTTTTCTGTGCCATCCATTTATATGGGTCAATTACATGTTTGTCTTACTCCAATATCTGTGAAGACATTTGGAATCATCGTTCTGGAGGTTCTTAATGGAGCTCTTCTGCTTTCTGGTAGTGACTAGCCTCAGTCTGTTTGTGCAGATTTAATAGTTAGCATCCTGACTCTGTTACGGCAGAAGGTCAGACATGATGATCCTCACTCTGTAGAACTCAGCAGAGACAATAAGGCCATACAATGTGGATTTTTGCTCTTAATGCATAGCCAACCCAATGGATGAAACCTAGTTATTGTCAAAAAGAGCATCTCAATACCTGTGACTGAGAGGTATGGGGATGTAGGAAAAGCAAACACTGCATTTAATAAAGCAATTAGGATACAAAGCTAAGTGGTCCGGAGCAGTGTTCCACAACTTTATTTATGACAGGTATTTGATTTTCCTATGATAAGCATGATGGACCCCAGTGTTCCTCCCAGATTTGAATTGAGGCATGGGATAGTTTGAGAAACTTTTATAGTGTTTAAAGCCTAGGGTGATCCCCATCTTTGGAGGACTGTATCTTATTCTGCTCCTAATTGCAGGAATGGATGCTCAAGTCCAAGCTGGAGTTTGGCTGTGGGGTGGGGGAATTTTTCTTATCTTTTAGTCAGTGTCAGGAGTTCATATCTTTCAGGAGCAGACCTAATAGCCACACATTTTTAGTTGTCTACCATGTCCAGTCAAAATTAGTGGACTCCATGGAAGGGGTTTACATACAGGTAGTCCTCACTTAACGACCATTTGTTCAGCGACTGTTCAAAGTTACAATGGCGCTGAATGAATGGTAGTTACAGCCGCTCCTCAAAGTTAAAGCTGTTGCAGTGTCCCTGCAGTCACATGATCAAAATTTGGGCACTTCGCCTAAATGTATGACCTGTAATGGTATGTGGAAATGATCTTGGGAGATGGGGGGAAGAGATGCTGCCTAGGGAATGATCAGATAAGAAAGGGCATAGCCCAAAGCTGCAGAATGGGTAGAGAAAGAGACTCAAAAAGGAACCACCCTAAATTCTCAGGTGGTAAAAGGGACAGTGGGAGATTTGTACTATCAGACTTGCAAGATTCTGTTAATATAGCCTTACAATAATGTAGAATTAGGTTATCTGGTTGTGTTTCCTGTCTGGTCTACCTGGGATGCCTGACATCAATCTTGTAAGTCTGAAAGTACAATTCTCCCGCCATCTCCTTTACAGCCCAAGAAACTTGGGAGGGTCTCTTCTGAGCCTCTTGCCCCATCCACTGTTCAGCTGTGGGCTATGCTGTCTCTTATCTGATCATTCCCTAGGCAGCATCTCTTCCTCCGTCTCCCAAGGTCATTCCCATGTACCATTACACGACCACAGTGTATGCTTCAACATGCTGCGGCCTCGCAAACGGCCAGCAGCTGCCTCAACCGGACGTACCTCAGCAGCAGCAGCAGGAGGAAGATGGAAAAGGTCAGCTGGGATCGGTAGGGGTAGGCAGCAGTGGTGGAGTGCCGGGTAGCCAAAAGGGCAGAGAGTGGGGGAGAGATAGGTGGGTGGGGGAAGTTGAAGCAGAGGTGAGTGCAGCAGGGCAGGAGAAGCATCAGGTCCTCACCTAATGACAGCATGGTCCTTGCCTAATGACCACAACTGGGACTACCAGAACTGCTGTTGCTAAGCAGTGTGGTCACGTGATGTTTCATCTAACGACCACGTCACTTAGCGACAGAAATTCCGGTCCCAGGTAGGGTCATTAAGTGAGGACTACCTGTAGCTTTCCATCCCTCAAATTGTAATTTTGTTTTGAGTACACATACTGTGGAACTCAAATGGTTCCAAGTTTTAATGAACTATGTTAGGTAGTTCCCTGCAATGCTTCTTCCTGCCACCACTTCATTGTAACACTGAAGAACATTTGCTGCTACACCTGTTTTGTTTTGTTTTTTTATTAAGGCCATCTGATATTAAATTTGTCATGACTGAGATGTGAAAAGTACTTCCCAGGCTGATAAGGGGATTAGCAATTATCAAAATTACGAGCATTTGCAGGTTGCCATTTCTCCTCACCCCTCTAAGCCTGTTGCATTGCAAGAATGCCAAAAAGCACTACCCAAATAGAATATATATAAAGAGGTTTCATTTGAAAGTAGTTAATCACTCAAATTTTTGTGCTGTGATCTAATTGTTTTTTTTCCTAATAAACCACAGCAATCTGAGTTTTTTAGGTTGATTTCTTAGATTGACTATTTCCTGCTGGATTTGGAGGAAGACTATTTGAGATTAATTCCAATGACTCCTTACTTCCTCTACAAGGGGAACTATCTTGCTGCAAGTTTTGATATCTGGACCATCCTCTTATTATGCTGTTGACTGCTGAACAAATTGTTATCCAGGAGACCTGCTCTAGAACCAGGTAGACATCCAGATTGACCAACTGGCTCAAGCAGTCACCCGTATGATGCAGCAGACAAGAAAGATTCAACTCCCGTTGCCTGTCGCACTCGTGATTATAGTGCCTCCTGTGACTATGCTTTTTCGACCTGGTTCCTTGCTTGATAAATATGATGGAACTCTAGAGAAATTTAAAGCATTCATCATTAACATTTTATATGAATTACATATATCCTTGGGACTAAGTTTCCCAGTTCTCAGATAGGATTTCCTGTTAAGAGACAGAGCTGCCAGATAGGCAAATCCAGTTTTAGACAATCTGTTCTGAACAGTTATAGCAATGTTATGCTTAAAATTGACATCTACCTTTAATGATTCAGCCAGAAGGGTGACAGCTAATTGAAATGTACTGATGGTACCAAGGTAAAATCAAAAGTGTGGGTGTATGTAGCTGTCTTCCAACTTTACTCCAGAGATGTGGGCTAGAATAAAGCAAGTTTAGTTGACTAATTTAAAGAGGGCCTTTCTAATGAACTGCATCATAAGCTGGTTTGATAGGGCACTCCAGGCATCTTAGCATAGCTAATCTAATGCTGCATATCCATAGGCAGAAAATTAGATAGACCTGGGATGGAAGGAGGGGAGATTTTATATCCTATTGGCATCTCTTCTCTTTTCTTCTGCCTGCTCTTCAGAAAATCCTGAAGATGAGCCTATGCAGCTGGGAGCAAGTAGACCTCCACTGTCAGCTACAGAAAAGCAATACAGATGCATGCTAGGTCTCTGTATTATGGAGTTTCGGGATATTTTGCATTTATTTGCCCTGCTAAACTTTCTTTCTCTGAAGTGTTTTTGTGGAATGAGAGGTTGCTATGCAAATAAATGCCCAAACCAACCAAGCTGGGTTTTGGGGAAAACAAACCAAGCCTTTGGTTCAACAGCCCAGAAAGGGGACCAGTGAACAGTTAATAGGACCTTGCATGTACAACTCAGTGCAACAGAAATTTATTCTACACGTTATTCTTCACTTTCAAATAGGCTCAGA